TTATTCAAATCTAAGCTGAACTTTTTTCCAATGTTGATGTTACTGAAAATTGGGTGTGGCTTAGAATCAAAGTGGAAATATTTTTTGGATGGGGAAATTGAACATGATACTGACTGTGAGAGCAATTACAGGTTCATGTATGAACTTAAAAATTTTTAATACTGATAAAATAAATTAATTATTCACTTATTAGCTCTCAATTTTAATTATTTTTTCTTTCATATATATCCATTATTGATAAATCATTTTACACTAATTTTTATTTTTTCACAAAACATATTAAGAATTTCTCGTGCAGCTTTGAATCAATGGTGGCTTAGATTCGAATGAGTCCAGTATTGCATACAAATCCAGGAAAGTTTTTCAAGAGATGGTCCATTCAATTAAGACTCCAAAATGGCACAAGACTTATTTCTTTTTGATCCATAACAATTATTTTTATTTACAAAATAACTTGATTTAAAAACACTCAAATATAGAGCATGTAACTCAAACTAAGAAATTAATTTTAAAACAAAACGGAAAACATTTTTGCAATACTTTAATGAATTAAATGTTCTAAGTGTTTGCCTTCTAACTTCTTTTAAACCAATCAGAAAGTGTAAATGAAGTGATTACTGAAGCAGTGGAAGAAATGAATTTAGCTACTTACTCAAGATTCATCAAGAGCTTACTTTTTTAAAAAAAGATAGAGCCTGTATTTGTGTTGAAGGCAAACAATTTGAGCACTCAATTCATTAAAGCATTACAAAAAATGTTGTTTTATTTTTTAATTTATTGCTTAATGTGAATTAAGCAATAAGTTTTTAAAGCACATACTTAAGATTGATTTTTTAAATAAAGTCATTTTGTAGAAAAAAAAGAAAGAAAAATTGTTTATAACTGTTACAGAGAGAAAAGTAGCAAGTTTTATACCATTTTGGAATCTTAACTAAATGAGCTATCTTTTGAAATAACTTGCCTAGGGAAGTATACAATATTTTCCTCTTTTTTTGGAGAGTTTAATGTAAATGATATCATTTTCCCAAACCTGCTTAAACTATGTTAATTTTAACTAGATTGGCAACGATTTTTTATCCATTTGTGACTGTGATTAATAGCGAATCACAGTGAATTTTTGGTCATAGTACCTAATGATGTGATAAAAGGTATTAACAGAAGTATTTTTAAAATGAAGTTCTGCAAATAAAAAAAATTCTCTATGATTGTTATACACAGAAAAGAACAAGTGTTGTACCATTTTGCAATGTTAAGTAAATGAGTCATCTTTTGAGAAACTTTCTCTTGGGGTTGTATCTAATATATTTCTTTTTATGGAGAATTAAAGTTAGGTGACATCATTTTTTCAAACCCTGACAACCTAACTATACTAAGTGTGATTGTGGCTATGTAAGATGACAATAGTGAAAAAATCATTATAAAATTTGTGGTTACTGAACCTAATTACCTAACCAGTTCCCACATTTTCAAGAATATACTAATCATCACTTTATCAAATGATATGGAATGTTTATTTTTATTTTCCTAGAACTGATATGACCAATCTTTTATCCAGTGCTTACTTGACACTGAGTTTCAAGACATGACATATAGTGTATATCTTAAAAAATGATGGAAAAATATTTTTAAAATTTAAGTTAAATCATAAATTTTATAGATATAAACTTAATTGTTTAAAAGTACTACTTTAAATTTTACAAAATAAAGCAATAAATTATAGCTTAAAAAAACTAAAAAACATGCTTTTATGTTTAATCGAACTAAAAAGTAAAAAAATAATTCTTAATATAAGAATAAAATGATTAACAAGAAAATAAATGTCATTGGGCTAAAAGCATGGGGTGCTCTATATCAATTGTTATAATTTCTTACTAGTTCTATTCCGAAATGCTGAGTTAGAGTAAAAAAAAAGTACAAAGCACACCACACTTTTACCACAATGACATTAATTTTCTCGTTAATCATTTTATTCTCATACTAAGAATTTTTTTACTTTTTAGTTCAATTAAACACAAAAGTGTGTTTTTTAGTTTTTTTAAACTATAATTTATTTTTCATTTTTTAGTTCGATCAACAATAAAAGCATGCATTTTTAGTTTTTTACACTATCATTTATTCATTGAAGAATTAACCTTAAATGCGTCATTTTTTAGAATCTGAAATACCCATTGGCATTCTATCAGTGCGTTGATATGGCCTGGTCTGCAAAATGTAAGATCAGCCAACTGAAGGAAATCTGGAAGAGCTCAGTTTGAAATATTTTATGCAAAAGAAGGTGTAAAGTCGAAAGATATTTTTCACTAAAAAGAACTCAATATTCTCTCTGAAACTTGCATTAGTATTAGACAAAAAAGTACACTTTTTGAATCAAAGAGTTTATTAGAGAAATTATTTTTAATCCAATGACTTCTGAATCAATTATCAGCTGTTTAAGTAAAATGAAGCAATAAATATTTCATTCCATAGATTCATCAAGAGAATTTAGAAAACAGACTTTAATTATGAGTTTAGTGGTTAGAACAGTGCTTCTCAAACTTTCCATATTTGCGACCCAATTTTTCTCGCCCTCCCTCCCCCATACGACAACAATGTATTGAGTGCAATAATAATGTACTTCCACCCTAAAGCTACAATGCGACTTTAATATTAAAAACTGCCCATATTATCAATATATATATTATATTTTGTATATGACAAGCACATGGAAGTCACTAGCAATTGATTAACTTGTTATTAATTTAGTACTGATAAATCAATTATTAAATACTATTTGCTATATTGATACATTTATAAGTATCTTATATCAGTGTGAATATGTACTTTATTTTTTATCATGTCAGAATGTATTTTGTTCTGCTTCCGTTCAGTAAATTAATAATTATTTTAAATGGAGGGGGGGCACACCCCACAGTTTGAGAAATGCTGGATTAGAACATAATTTTTTTTTTACATGCATGAGTCTTTTTTTTTTCCATTTCAGAAAAACTATACAATATTGCTTATATTATGATAAGAAATTGCTGATGCAAACGTTTTTGCTTTTATAGGGTTGCAACTTAAACTTTTAGTCACCAAATCTCGAAATCCTTATTCCTGAGGATCCTAATCAGAACAATGAAAAAAATTACGAAATTATTGTATTGTCATTGGATTTTGACAAGTGTGCAAAATTTCGAATTAGTCTGACCTTTTAAAGTTGGTAAAAATTGAGCTCAAAGATTCCGTTGCGTACAAGGGAAACTTATAAAAGTGTGTTAAAAATTATTACCTTATTATTTCCTGTCTTATGATTTTCGCCTTCAGGCTCAGTTTCAGACAGTGGATCTAAACAAACAAAAAAAGTTACAAAATTAAGTCATTGTGTTTTCAAATTATTATTTAAATGTTGAGTAAAAAATAGCTGTCAGGTATTTCTGCATCTTTTCCTATCCCCCTTTCCAATTCAGCTTGCAAAATTAAACAGAATTTAATACTTAATAACCTCTTCAAATTATTTCTTTCCAAACAGCTAGAATATGAACTGCATAAAACAAGATTAGTCTATCTAAATCAGCTATGTATACTATACATTGAATTAAAATATACAGTTAGATTAAAATACATATTAATTTACTGTTAATTTAGCCATAGTAACTGGACCATTAAAATTCATTAACCACTCAATTTTATTAAATTGTTTTTGCTTTCAATAATTCTTGCCTTGTGTTGTGTTTTGTGACACATAAGAGATAAGTATTTTATATACTAGATGAATTGATATTACTACAAAAACTAAAGAAGCAAACCCTATTCAAAAAAATCCTACAAGGTTTGCTTTATCTTTTCTCTATAATATAATCATATTTTCAACACATACAATGAATTTAAGATTCATAAATTTATCCTTTTATTCATAATATTTCTAAACTTATTTAAATATAGTAAATAAGTACAAATAATTAGACATTAAACACATTTCACATATTTTTCCTTGTTTAAAAATTCAAAAATATGTTAAAAATTAAATTAATGATAATACATGCGTAATTTACCTGTTGCAGAAAGATTAAAAGTAACTTTCTTTTTATCCTTAAGTTTCTTTTTGAGTCGCAACTCTGCAAGATTTTTAAAAGCTTCTTGAAAAGGATCACCAACAAATGCACTTTGTTCATACAAAGAATTCCGTAGCTACAAAAATTATAAATATGAATAACAACTCTTAAACCATACTTTTCCTGGTAACTATTCCAAAAATATTTATAATTTTTTTAAAATTATATATATATTTGTTATTCATGAAATTTTTCATTCTACATGCTTGATATTAAAAATCAGATCTCATTTATAACCCCCCTCCTTTTTTTTAAAAAAAGTTCAATTTCTGAAGGCTACAGATATTTTTTAATATATATGATGATGATAAATGCTTGATAAAATTCAAACATCCAGGCTTTTGACATTTATGAAAAAAAGATAATTCTACATAATTTTCATCACAGAAATAAGAAAGGAATGATAAAATCTGTTAACAAATGTGACAAGCATATAAATTGGAATTTTAATCAAAACTGCAATATTTTACAACTAAAAAAATAAAACTTGTTTTAAAATTTCAAAAATTGAAACTAAAACAGAGAAACATTCATAACATTCAGTAGACAAGAAACTTAAAATATTTCATGGAATCTAAATAAAGCTTAGAACAAAGAATAAATTGTATAATATTTATCCTTAAACAATTAATATAAAAAAATTAAGTCAATTCCTACATAGATCAGCAAAGAAAAATTTCATTTTAGTTACTTTTTATAAAATAATTACAACTATTATAAATATGTATATAAATATTTATCACAATATCATGTGACAAAAAAGAAAGTGATTTTCCTAGCAATTTTCCTTTTTGTATATAGTGTTGCACTATTATTTTTGTTTGTTACTATTAATTCATTAATTAAAAAAATTTAATTATTTCAATAAAATATTATAGTAAGAAGAAATCACATTCTCAGAAATTAGGCCATCCCAGGTGGGATTTGAACCCACGACCTTTGGATTAGAAATCTAACGCACTATCCAATGTGCTACAGGAACACAACGAGCGATTTCTCTTTTTATATATGGTGCTGGAATATTATTTTTGTTTGTTACTATTTATTAATTAATTAAACTTAATTAAGGAATTAATATTTGAAAAAATTTTATTAACATCATGTGTCATCCACTACGAGTTTAAAAAAATGTATTTGAACTTGAGTGGATGAATAAAATTATTTTATTAATGATTGAAAATTTGAACAAGATATATATAAATAAATATATATGGGGAGAGTGTGAATTAATAGTAGGAATTGAAAAAGAAAACAAATACTTACTTTTAAAGGTGATGAATAACCTACTTTCTTCAATTCAGTAACTCGACCTATATATAAATTTAAAAATGTAATATACATATTAAAATCTAAAATTAGAGGAACAGGAATAAATAATTTTTAATTAACATGATTTTGAAAAATAATATAGCATATAATTTACCTTCTGCTGCAAAATTTTTGTTTTCAATGGACTTTAAAATTTCTTGAATTGCATTGGCTGGAGCTTTAAGTTTTTTATACAAAGAAGGCCTTTCATACTAAAAAAAATAATTATTTAGTTGTAAAAAAATCACAACACTTTGAACATTTCATTCTAAAATCACTCAACTTATTAATCCACATATACAAAAAAAAAAAAAAAAAAAAAAAATTAAATTTCTGTTTTTAAAAAAATTTAAAAAGTACCAATATAAAAACACTTAAGAGTAAATTATTTAATAATATAAGAGTAAATTATTAATAATGAAAAAATAAAACCAATTCTGCTAAATGCCAAATCTAATTCATTAAAAAATTTTTTTTTTTTCATTTAATACAGAACTTTATCCACGCTTTTGAAAACATGAATTCTGAAAGAGAAAAATTGGGTTTTTATAAAATGATCATATTAACATTTTGTATCTTCTCCCATCAGATCAAAAACTATGTATATTGAATTAATTTTTGAATAACTTTTTTTGCACAAGATCGGATTTTTAAAAAAAGGACTGATAAAATCGGATAACAATATATTTAATCTAAAAAGCTCAAAAAGGATAACATTTATTCCAATGAAACAATTACTATTTAATGTAAAAGTTCAAAAAGGAATTATTTATTCAATATTTGTTTTAATAAAACAGTTACTGAGAAACTTAACTATTTTGATTAAATCCTTAAACATAACAGCAAGACAAATCGCCTGGTATAGCATAAGACAAACAACACAAACTAGGAACACTTTCACTTGTGAATTCTACGAAGTTGCTGGATTACGAGATAAAACAACTGGATTGCCAAAGCACCTTATAGAAATGATAAAATAATAATAATTTTAATATTCCCTCCAGTTGTTTTGGCACATAAATTTACATATTAGATTAAATATATATATATGCTTGGTATTGAGTACATAAAATGCAATATAAAATTAACATCACTAACAGAAAAATTAAGCAAAAAACTAATTTTAAATGATAACATAAAAAAAAAATTTAGATTATCTCATTGAAAAGTTGCGATGTAAGTTAATCAAAATTTGGTAAGCCAAACAATTAATCATATATTTCATTTTATGCTGAACAGTTCTCTTAAATTTTCAAATCTTACTTGGGGAAGGACATTTGAAATAATATCAGGTAACTGTTTCTCAGATCAAAAAAGATGACTAGTATGATCAATTACTGGACAGTGTATTCCATATGCTGCAAACCTTTCAAGTATCTAAAAATACATTTTACAGCATTCCAGTGGATTAGATCTGGATTTGTTTGAAATCCACTGATAACAATAACAGCAAAAGCTATATCTGGATGTGTAGTGATGGCAAAAAAACATTAGGGATTCAATGGCTTTCCTGAAAGGAATAGTTTTTCCTACCAGTAATTGGTTGGATTCTAAAGATAGTATTGATCCAGGAATATACAAGTATCTCATGTTTGAGCTAACAACCTCTAAGTAAAATCTATACAAAATATGTTTTATATACCTTTCTGGATGCAAGAACATTGGACATCTGCTTTATAATCAATTTCTACCTAAAAAATTCCCAATTTTATTTTTAGATAATCTAAAATTTCAATTATTTAATATCTTCTTTTCTTCACAAAATAACAAAAAATCATCTGCATATAAAATTAAAAGTACTTTCTCAATTTGAAAAGTTCTGTTGAAGGTACATGAATGAGCAGAAATAAGCTTAAGATTAGTACTTGTTAAGCATTCAGAGAATGTCTCATTCCAATAACTGGATGCCTATTTCAAACTACTTAATGATATTTTAGCTGACATTTTAAGTTTTTAACATAATGAAAATGTGACATTATCAATTCACCATTAAGAAAGCCATTTCAATCTCAATTTGCATAACTTTCCACTTCCTTTAAGCAGCAATGACTAATATCTTTCCAGTATCAGCCCTTAATATTGGAGAAAATATTTCTTCATGATCTTCTCCCTCTACTTGAGAAAAACCTTTGGCACACAGCTGGTACATAGCGCTTTCTGGTAAAGGTACAAAATCCCATGTTGTTTTAAGATAATTTAGTTCTTTCGAGTACTCAGCTTGAGGGCTGTGCATTGCCTTTTCATATGCTTTGGGTGCGACAGTATCTGTCATATTAACTTCCTAATGGGCTGGAACTTTTAATGCGAGTCTGGAGCAAAAGGCTATAACGATCATCATCAGTAGCGTACACAGGAAATTTTCAGGGAGGGGGTCCAGGGTCGAAAGTCCATTATTCTTGTATCATGCTCCAATACGTCCCCCAACATATTCTTTTGATTTTGTCAATTTTAGGGGATTAGGGAACAAAAATCAGTAAAAAGTTAATTATGGAATGAATAATTAGCATTAATTAATACAATTAATTATTATTAACCAATACTTAATTAAATGTTATGTACTATATACATAGGTTTATAATCAATCGGAAAACCAGGACCCCCCCTTGTGTTCACCACAGATCATCATTTTCATTAGAACTAGATGGATCAAAGAGTAAATTACTTTCTTGCTCAACAATGGAATCACTAATAATTACATCACACACATATAACATTAATTAAAAATCATGAATGTTAACATTGGTGATGAGGCTCCTGAGTCAGTATGTTTTCTTCATTAAAAACTACATTTTATGATATTTTGATATAGAGAAAGAAACAGACAGATCATTTTTAGATTCATCCCAACAAAAATAATTTTTCTATTGTTTAATATTAAATTTCTTCTGCTGGATATCAAGCACATGTAAGCTTCCGAACCAATTTTTAAATGACTGAGCAAAGCAGATTTTCTATTTCGTAAGTGATAAGCTGTAGAGCTTGGATTGTAGGAGTTCTATTCAAAATATAAACAACTTTACTGACTGCCTCTGCCCATAAGTACAAAGGAAGTTCTTTTGGATATACTTCATGGATTCACTTTCCCTAATTATGCCCATATCTTTCAGATATTTTATTTTGGGATATAAGGAGCTGTTTTATTTTGCAACTGAATATTCTTTTTGTTTTTAAATTCACTAAGTGTGAATTAATGTATCAGATAAATTATCAAATTTGAATGTTTTAACTTGATCAAACTTATATTTACATAGTTGAAAAAAGTTTCTGAATGATTCCAAAAAATTGCTTCTGTGTATAAAAAAAAAAAACTACTCTATAACTGTAATTGACTTTCATGAAGACTGAATAATAGGCTCTTCTTCCTCACTGGGTGAGCATGGGATCACAAAGGTCTCTGTATATTGATTCTGCAAGCTCACTAGCCTTGTATTCTTTGGGATTAAATGAACATTTATATTGTGTACCACACTGGTCACCTTTCACAGTAGAATTTCCCTTTTCCTGATGAATCAAATTTTTTGATGATGCCTCAGCTACCCAGTTCACAAAGAGCTTTCAAATTTATATGCCTAGTTCTTTCCTACCATATTTTCATACTACCTTTGTGTAATATGTTTGCCTCAGAGGAAGTAACATGTGATATAAATCGTTTACAGAACATGTTGTACCAATTAACTTGCCTTCACAATTGTAAGTATCAGCAGGATCTTTCATCTTTATTAATTTCATACCTTTGATGGGAAGAATTTTTTTTCTGGGTCTGGTACATAAAGAACATTGTGCATTTCATTTTCTAATCTTTTCCATGAATAAGCTTTTGAATTTTTACATTTCCCCTTTCTTTACAGGTAGCTCTAGATTGTTGCCAAGGTGAATAACTTAATACACATTCAATTCATTAAAACTACCCAAATAATCTAGATTATAGGTCATAGGAGCAGATGCAACCCTGTCGTTTCACCCAAATACATTGTTCTTCACCTAGCACTACTTTCCCTATTTCAAAGTTACATACACTGTAGTTTGATGTGCCTCTGCTTCATGGAACACCATCATTTTTTCTGGTGTTAGATTGGACCTCACACACAGAATGAAAAAGACAAAAGTATAAGTTATTTTAGTTTTATTCCACTTCTACTTTGATCTTTTAATTTATTTTCCTTTCTCAGATGATTTAAATGCCCCCTTTGAATTTCGAATTAGAAACAAAAAATGCAGATGCACTTTGCTCAGATTGCAATAATGAAGCTTCTTCATCTATAAATATTTCAGTTATGAGCTCTTTTTTGTTGCTTTTTTCAACATAGTTATGCTTGTCTCAATCAATCAATCTTAATTATGTATTATACTACTGTTTTATTGCATTCCATTTTCACTAGATAGAATTCTTCTAGCAATAGCCTTTTGTTAAAGTTAGATTTCAATTTAAAAATAGGGTCCAGTTTTTCAAACACCTTGATGCACAGCAATTTGCCAAGTTTCCATAACTGACCATACAGTAAACATCACTACTACAACATCTCTTTCCCATTTCTCTATTTTCACTCAGAAGAGTTTTGAACATTGTTTTGTTGATTGCAGAAATGTCAACATTAGCCAAGAAGACACATCAGGTCTACCTTGTTCTGTGAATGTTAATTTTAAAACACTCTATGGAAAAATGAATCAAATCCC